CTGGGCTCTGAGCTGAATGAAAGCAGCTGTCACTAGCACGCATCGAGCTCAGCTTGAGTTAAAATATTTTCAAATAGTAAAACAATGAATCGGAATGAATTTTACATCAATGGGCCAATTTCTTTGAGTTTAGTGCGGGCAATTTGCCAAAAAAAAAAACCATTCATAAAACTCACTTCAAGCTATATAAAGACACCGCATGATATTAGATGCTTTTCTTCTTTAAAGGACGCAACGCATTTTGTTTTTCGTTTCCGTTTCCTGCCCTGCGGCGCAACGAATGCGATTTAATTTCTTTTGTCATCGGAATCGATTCAAAAAGTCATTGGATTCTAGTGCCGTGTGTCGAGCTGTTGGCCAAGTTGTTGCCACTCAGCATTGAAGTGCCGGCCTGTGAGAGGCCTCTGCCAGGTGTGCGCTTCGGTTCGCTTGGCTACCTGCAAGCACTTGTCAATGGTGTCTATGGCCAACGAGTAGTTGGGTAGCACTCCCATTGCAGCTCACCTTTGTACCTGCTGTGTGTGATCCTCGAGCCTAGCTCTCTACAAAAGTTGAGCTATAAACATGATACTGTCTGTACAGTCTATATAAAATAGACACTTTATAAGGAATTGCTTGGCGTTGCCCCTTAAATTGCCTCTATTGCCTCCTCCATGGATTCACCCTACAATCATATTTACAAATATTTTGTCCTTCACGAGTATTCAGTCCCTTATATTTTTCTTCACTGTTGCCAACGCATTCCACGCATTCCCTTGTGTCTAATAACAAATTAAGTATGCAAATAAAAATGTTAAAAAATGCCCCTTGATTTGAATCGGTCACATCATGCTTGTTGGTCCGATGCTCCAACGCAGGCCATGATAAACAGTTCTATAGCCACATAAATTAACGCAATGCCTAAACACGTGTGGTTTTAATCTCCTATGTCAAATTCATCTATTTAACTTAGCTATCAGGCTATCAGGATTTTAGTGTCTGCGGTTGCCACATCAATTTGGCAGGTTCAAAGTGAAATGCAATCGTTTGGCAATTAACTGAATGGTCAACAATTTCTAATCAATAAATTGTAAACGACCACACACACACTCATGTACGCACACACAGGCAGACAAAGACACACATTTGGGAAATTAATTTGGCACAAAGCTTCATTTAATTCCCATTCTGAGTCGTTGTTCAATCAATTAATTTGTCATTTGACGCTGCTTATCAATCATTAACTTCCGTTCACCTCAAATCAATAGATACCCCATTGGCAGCCGCCTTATAATAACAATCAAAGCTCATTTGTTAATGTTGGTTTTACACTTGGCTCTCCACGGATATCGCTGATTATATTAATATTATATATACTTTATGCCCAGAGCATATATATGTTTCTAAAGGTTCTGAATAAATATTTACATTTAATTGCGCTGACTTGCCAAAACATTTGGTTGGATGTCTGAAAAATGAGACGACGCAAACAACAAGAGCTTTTATTTATTTTCATATTGTTATTTGAGCAGCATGTATTTTGATACCCTGTACGCATTTAAAATGTGTAAAAGGTGCTTTCAAGTCGACGTCTTTATATATTTAGCCGATTTTTAAATAGGTCACCAGCATAAACACCTTGATCTGAGGGTGTAAATGCCCCTAAGCTGGAGAAACTTTAGCTGCGTCTTTTATTTAAGTCAGCTCTAATTACAGGGTATACTTAAGTGGTAACTCGGATTCTGCAAGGGTTTCGTTGCATTCAATTTAAACTAAAAGTGTTGCATACTTATCTTTTTTAAGCTTAATTGAATTTTAATTCAATTTATGGCCAGTGCTTATTAATTAGCATTCGATTGCATTTAAGCTGATTATGGACATATTTTATTGCGCTGCAATTTGGAAAAGCATTGGAATACTTTCAAGCTTTTTCTACGAACTGCTTAACAACATTTCGTGCCAGCGACAGGATATCTGATACACCATAATTTAAAGCTTTACATAACATACATAAGTTGAGTTTTTTTTTTCTTGCACATTTTCATTAATTCAACAATTTCCATATTGCGTGCAACTTGTTTTATCTTTGCTGCACAATTTCTATAAATTCCTTGAATTAATCATAAAATATATTTGTAATTGTTTAAAACTCTTTGCTTATTAATTGAACCCGTCAACCCACATTAAAGATCATTCACCTTTCGCAATGGCCCAGTTTTTGTTTTCATTTTGCTGCAGTTTTATTGATGTTGTCATTCGGGCTTTTCAGTCAATTAATTAGTTTTACTGTTTGATCTGTTGAATTGGAACTGGAATTGGAACTGAGGCAAAAGCTAATCAGTTAATTGCTTGCTTGGCTTCGATCATGTAAGGGGCACCTCATCGATAGCTGTGCGTGAATGCGCGTGAGTTTCTGCAAGGCCGGTTCCCAAAAAACAACTTTGACAACTTTAGTCTCAACAATGGCGAATCAGCTGGTTCGAGTCTCGAAAGGCAGGTCAGAAATCACGCGAGCGTGAAATAGCGATAAAAGTGAGTGGACCACTCGCATCCTTGTCACTCACTTATCACCCAGACCAATAGTGCTGGCAATTCAGCTTTAATTTCAAACAAATCTAGCCTTTTTCGTTGGGACTAGAGTCATAAAATAATGTAGCCTAAAAGATATATAGCGAGTGTTTATTTAATATGTGATAGACTACTTCATCTAAATTAATTGAAAACTTCTTGTCAAATGTTGAAGCTATTTTACAGATAATTCGAAATAGATTCTTCTTGTAGTGCATATGCCAGAGTTAACAGGAACTAATTATCTTAATATAAAAAAAAAAAAACTAAAAAAGTTGTATTTATAAGCAAAAGTTGTATTTATTTTTAAAATGTGTTCTATGCTTGGCATAAACTTATATAACGCCAGATATCATACGCATGCGAAGGGTTTTCCGATTTTGAATAGACCTTGGCTGACTTGTTGAAAATATGCTAGTATATTTTGGCAAGATATTTTAAACATTTATAGATCTGACTTTCATAAAAAACTTCCTTTTTTGTTAAAGATATATCCGATATTTTCTAGACCTAGGCTGATTTTGATAAACTAGCTATTTTCTGCTGGCAGCACTGCCTGGCTCTGGGCTCGTCTTTCTTTTTGGCTCATTCAGCTGTCACATCTTGAGGCAAACCTGGGGCCCACTGTCAATCAGATTGTTCGCGTTCTCCCACGCCTGTCCATCTATATCTTGCGGTTTCGAGCTGGCGCTCTTCACGTTTTCCCAATTTCAAGTCATTAATTTTACAATTTCCCTGCGCCAATGTAATTGATGTTGTGTTTTGTGTGCTGTTGTCATTTTTGCGGTTTCCATTGAACACACTTACACACACAGCCGCACGCCCCTATTTGTTTTCAATTAGTTGAATCGAAAGTGAAAACATGAAAGTGTGAGTTCAAATTGATTTGCCGCGCAAAAGCCACATTGATTAGAGCATTCAGCATTCAGCATGATTAGCTCTAATGATACCAACTGGTTGGCGGGAAATTTTCCAGTGAACTTTATGCAATTTTGAGCGCCTGAGTCAGTTGAGTGCTGCGGCGGCTGCCCGCATCAGTTGACAAATTTGAATATTCTCATTTATGTGAACAAAACAAACAGACCACAAAATGTGCTCCCAAGTATCCAAGTGGCAGCCACATTTTGTACACTAACCAAAATTACTCAAATATAGTTGAAAAATAATTTTGTTTAAAACTGTTTGAATATTTAAAATAAATCAAATATTGTCGACAAAATCTAGTTCGAACTGGAACCATCTGAACTATTTATAAATAGGTTCATAATATTCCTCTATCACTTAAGTTTCATTAGTATTAATATTAATATTGAGATATATGTATATATTTTAGTTGTCAAGTCGTTTTTACAATATTTCTCTCATACTTTTTTGTTACGTTCTCAATTTTCCAATGTCTAAAGTTTCAAGTCTTCAACTGCAAGTGTTTACTCCAATAAAGTGAAGAGTATATTTTATGATTCTTATAAGCATAGCGACGACTTCTGGGCGCCAAAGCAAGTGGCACTTGTTATTATTAACTCTTTGATGGCTGCTCAACTGATTATAAACACAGCTGCGTCACTTCAATACCCTTTCAAATTTGGATATTAACATTTTTGTCACATTTTCGAACAGCTGAATCGATTCAGTTCAGCGATCAGTTGTCTGTACAGCTTTCTATAAGAAATTACTCAGTATTAATGGAGCTTGGCACATATTTAAATACGCTGCAGAGATCAGTTCGTTCGGAGTGTAGCATATAGGTTATATGTTATATATACTATATATATATGTTATTTAAATGTAACCTCAATCTAAATCTTAATAATTCAGGTTTAGTTATACATTTTTTCTGCAAGAGTATTTCATTTTCAGCTTTTATTTTTGTTCGGTTTAGTCCAATTTTGTTTTTTGTTTATTTCATATTTTGTTTTATTTCTTGTTTCTGGTATCCATTAACATTGATTGCCCGTCATTAAACGTGGCGCATTGTTTTGCCAGCTACATTATTAATAATTTTTGTTTTTTGGTAATATAATTAAACGGTATGCGTATTTGTTTTAATTATGCCGCTTTTGATGTTGTTTTTTTTATTCTACTTATTTTGGCAAAAGCGACAGCCACAAATAATAATTGCAAACGACTTCAAATTTATTTCGAATTAATTGTATTTCGTATTTTTTTTGCGCTTCGCCAAATATATTTATAACATATTTATGTATTTGCGGTTCACATTTACGTAATTAGGTGGGCCCAAATTAAATTGAACTCTAATTTGTGGTTATACAAATTACGGTTTGTGGAGCATGAAATCGTTATAAGGTTTAAGTATGTTTTTAAAAAATATATATAACCAGTTGAATCTAACGTCTGTGAAAATTGCAATTGCTACAGATATAAACTGTTTAATATTGTATAAGTAATGTTATTTTTTGTACCATAGATAATGAAATATTTTAACTTCACCTCAAGTTTGAGTTCTCATATAACAGATTTCACTTTCATTGAATATTTACGTGCGTCCTTTTGTGCTAACAAAACTTATCGCCATGAGAGTTCTTTTAACCAAAAGTAATTGATAATTTCAAATTAATCTACATTTAATTCAATTAGTTATTCACCCATTAGTCTTTCTTGGCATGACGCTGTTTCTGGGGCTTGCTAAAGCAGGTATAAATTGGTATGATTTACATGCCAAACCACATCTGCCCATCATAGGCCCGATCGTTTAGTATTCTAGTAAGCCAATACAATGTTTTAATAAAGAACTTTATGCGTTGAATAATAAAATTGGGTAATTGTTTGTACTATAAAGAGTATTGTTTGTTATGGAGGATCTGGTTTGTGTGATGCGCTCAGCAGAGAGGCATGGGCAAGACGAATCCAACTAGATTCTAGTATAGCCAATAATGTTGGCTGCAATGACTGAAATAATTGAATTTGAATACAGTTAAATATTGGTAGGATTAGGTTTTAGCTCAGCGCAGTGGTAATAATTCTATTACAGACAATCAAAATGGCATTTGAATACATTTAAATATTGTGATATATTGCACAGATCAGTTCTTAAAGAAATTTCTTTACTTTAAATATTTGATGGCACAAAACTTCGCTTGTTATATTCATATTCTTATTCCATATTCCCTTTATACACCAATCTAAAGCGTTTATATGCTTCGCACAAATGTCTATACATATATTTATATATATGTCTCTTGCTTGGTTTCCCATACACGGGCCGTCTTTAGAGTCAACTAGTTTACATATTAGGATTGAGTCATTAGGCTTTTGGTAATTTGTCAGTCATTCATTCAGATGCTCACACGATGTGTTAACATGCAAATTGATATCTCAAGAACGACAATACATAAACCTATATTATTGATGGAGCAAAAACAAAATCGTCTTTTTTTTGAAGAACGTGTTTAAATCACATCTGTAATGATGGCCCTGCCAGCGGTTGAGCTCAGACGGAGACCGAGACCGAGACCGAGACACAGGCCCAGACCCCATCTACTACATGGCCAGTCCATTGATCAATGAATTTTTGTGCGGTTTTATGTGGTCTATGGTTTCCCCTCCTGCTGCTGCTTCCGTTGTCGACATTGTATTGTGGTTGAGTTGCCAGCATTGTTTTTCTTGTCGCCGTCGTCAACCTTACACCGATTCGTAACTTCATTGATAAAACTTGTTGTAGCTGACGCTTCCTCTTTGTAAGTGATTTTTTTTTCACTTCTTCTGCTTTGTTGCCTTAGCTTAGAGTTGTATGAATTTGTAAAACAACAAGTGATACGTGCTTGAGGGTATATAGGGTATAAATATTTTTTACCAGGGCGAGAGTCTTTACAGCCATTGTATTTAGAGTTTTTAAAAAGTATTTTAATGGTTAATATACCTTCAAAAACTTTATTGGGAGTGGAATCATTGTTCTATCATTTATTTTGTGCTTTCAATTGTGATTTCCACATTTTAGTTTTCAGTTTTTTGACTACTTTTCACACTTATAGGTAAAATTTTGTATAACCCAAATGGTTTATAATATCAAATAAGTCTCTTTTAAGTCAAATAATTCTATTTGTTCTCTGTACGGTAAAATGTACTATGTCTGTTAGGGTATTTGAGCCTCGGCTTCTTTGGGTTTCTTCGTACTCTTTTGTTTTTATACAAATCCGGTCGGTAGCTTGATCGCTGTGAATACTATGTGACTGCCATGCCCCAGTGAACAGTGTGGGCAACTAGTCAAAGGCGGCTGTTAACTGAAAACACTGTAACCTAGTGTTGATCAACGCTGTAATTATGATCTTTAATTATTAAATTCATTTTTCAATGCAATTTATTAATCGCCCGTGCTGATAGAAATACATAATGTGTATATAGCGATAGGTACATAAAGCATAGTTATATAAGGTATATATGCAAATACCTGTACTTATATGCAAATGTATGTGTATGTGTGTGTTCTGCTTGGTGTTGTGTGCATTTACCTTACGCTGCTTTCGCGACTTTTATGCCCTAAGCTGTTGAGGGCTCGGCTGCCTCATCGGGAACTAGATCATCCAGGTTTCCCTGCAATGGAATCTGTTCGCCTGCAGCTGCTGCAACGGCCGAAGGTTCAGCATTAGCGGAGAGAGGCACGCTAATGGGCTTAAAGGAGCTCCTAGCAGCGACATTTGGGTCATTCGCGGCCATCAAATTGTTCTGAGGCAACTGCAAAGACGGATTGGCTGTCGGCGTCTCCACGAGCAGCGGCTCGTCATTGGGTGGCGCTTTGGTTTCCGTAACGTTAGCCGGAATAGGGGTTGGCACCGGCGTGCCGTAGACGTTGTGCAGCAGCGCAAGGGACGCCACAACTATAAGCATCACCGAGACTGATTTTAGTTTATTTAACGTTTGGCTGAGCCTATTTGTTACTTTACCACATGTCAATAGAACTGCTGTTAGAACTTTCATGTTGCTCTCTTGCTCTCGCGCTTGGAATGGGCCTGAATGTGCACAGCGTTTGGGCCGCTTTTATACAGAATTGCAGCCACTTGGTCCAAACAATGTGGCGAGAATCAATTAACTTTTATGGCTCTTCATAATTGCTGATAAGGTAAACGCCAAATGGACCTTGCGAAAGAGTGCATTTGGCTGTGCTCCACTTCAAAGTTAATTTAATTATATTCAATTACGATAAGAACCAGTGGCAAACATTGATTTTCTTCTATCAATATTTTCTGAACTCGGGTTCAAATTTGCCAAGAAAATGTTCATACAACAGGCGTTCGTGAAGGAACATCTGCTTTATACCAAAGAGGAGGCCAGGTGTGGCACATGGAATTTAATTCGAATAGAAAACTAGATCATGACAATATTTTGTGCTTCTGCTCAGTTAAAAAAAAGTGACCATGGAGGACATATGCGTGTACATAACTATAAAAGCACAAAGTCAAAGCAGAGCTCTTAAAGTAAAAAGAAGACTTACATTAACTGCATTTAACATTAAGAAACCATGGAGGACATATTGAAGTGTAAATTAAATGTATATTTAAATTTTTAGACATTTATAAAGTGAGCAAAGAAGTGACCATAGAAGCCAATATAACTTTGCAAAGTGTCCATGGAGGACATGCAAATAGAAGCAAAAATAATAAAAAGCGTATATCAATATTACATATATTTATTGTTGTGCTTGGCGAATTTTCCATTTTATAATTTTTTGTTTAGCTGAAAAATTGTTGCTGCTAAGCGTCAACTAAAAGAAATACAGATTTTCCAGGGATTTTCCGGACTTTCTGCACTTCATAAAATGCTTTAAAAATTACATTTTTATTTAATATATTTTGTCAATATTTCAATTAAATTTTAATTGGTTGCATTTCATATATCTTCAGAGATTTTGTATGGATGTCTATGGGTTGTTTGATCATTCTCGTGGTTCCATGGCTCCTTGGTGGTACTCTTGCCTTTAGGTAAGGCCAGTACTTGATTTCTATCATAAGATACCTGCTGCAGCAGCGCAACTATGTGGTGAGAGTAGGATATATATATATAAGTATAAATAAAAAAAAAATATATTTATAGGGTTGACATGTTAGTTACCCAAACAAACCAAGAGCACAAATATGAGCTTCATTTTCGAACTGTGGCTGAGCAGCAAATGCGCTTCATATAATTCTTTTGCATTTTATATGACATTTCAATAGCACTTTTATGGTGCGTTCATGCTATAAAATTGATTGAAATACTCGCCTTTTTATAGCAATTAACTTTTACAGCGTAAAGTTTATTGAATGTTCGCTTTAAAGGTTCTAAGAGAAGGGCTTGCGATAGAAGCGCAATCGTTTTTAGATTAGCAATTGTTCTTTCAATCTTTTAGTTTTTACTGTAGATTGAAATAGATTAATATCCATCAACATATATTCTATTCTATTTGAAGAGCTTGTGTCAATCAGCTTACCAAAAGTCAGTTTTTGTATACAATATTAAGCACATATAGAATTTTATTATTGCACAATCATAAATCGGCATTCTATGGATTAGCTTTTACAAGTAACATATTTCCCTATCAGATGTTTAATATCGGGAAATAAAGTTTTTAATAAAATATTATTGCTTGTGTAAGACTTGCTTGGAATATTGTGTTCAAGGAATAGGACTTTATATTTCGATTAAACACGGGACTTGAGATAATATGTTATTGTTTTACCAGAGTTACACGTAATCTTGAAGAAGTTCGGCGGAAATGTCATTAGGGACTAATGGAGAACGAGCTTGGAATTCTGGTAAACTACGTTTATGAACTGATGGAAGTATCGACGATGATGACGATAAATGGTCATTCTCAACAGGAATTTTAAGTGATTGAACTATTGATGAAGCAGACTTTAAGATATCAGTTGCTAGAGGTTGCCGCTCGGATTCTAGATTTTTTGGAGTTGAAGTGGACTCATTTTCAGGTGCAGCATCAACGATTAAGGAATGAGAAATAACTGGAACTTTGATAGAGTGGAAAATTGATGTTTTGCTTAAATCTGGAACTCGAATGGATTGAACAATTGATGCGGACTTTGATAAATCAGTTTCAGAATTCCTTTCAGGAAGCTGTTGGCCTAAATTGGAAGTTTGAACTGTTTGACTATCCGTTGCGGAATCCTGCTTATTATTCGATGGAAGAATATTTAAAGGGGATGATGAAGTAGACTCCAAGGAGCTTGTCTCTGTTTCCGACTTAGTAAATGGTAAAGTCATCTCATTTTTAGGTGTAGGATCAAAATTTGAGGGATTAGAAATAACTGGAAATTGGATAGAGTGGATAATTGATGATGATGAAGAAATAGCAGCAGAGTCCAAGGAACTTGCGTTTCCGTTATATTGAGAAAGCGGTGTGCTTAAATCAGGAATTCGAATGGATTGAACAATTGATGAAGGCTTCGTTAAATCAGGATTTTCAGGAAGCTGTTGGCCTAACTCGGAAGTTTGAACCATTTGACTACCCGTTGCGAAATCCTGTTTATTATTCAATGGAAGAATATTCAAAGGTGATGCCGAAGTAGCCTCCAATGAACTTGTCTCTCTTTCTGATTTAGTAAAGGGTTCGGTTGACGTGGAGAAAATATCATCCACATTAGGAAGCTGAATTGAGTGAATAAGTGATGAAGAAATGTTCTTTGTCGACTCAGTAGATTCATTTCTTTTAAGAATCAGCTCCCATAAAGGATTTAAAGTCTGTGTTTCAACTGTTTGACTACCTGATGCGGAATCCTGCTTATTATTCGATGGAAGAAGATTTAAAGGCGAAGTAGATTCCAAGGAAGTTGTCTCTGTTTCTGATTTGGTAAAGGGTTCGGTTGACGTGGAGAAACTATCATTCACATTAGGAAGTTGTACTGAGTGAATAAGTGATGAAGAAATGTCCTTTGGCGACACAGTAGAATCATTTCCTTGAAGAATCAGGTCCCATAATGGATTTAAGGCCTCCGTTTCTGATTTGGTAAATGGTTCGGTTGATGTGGAGAGACTATCATTCACATTAGGAAGTTGTACTGAGTGAATAAGTGATGAAGAAATGTCCTTTAGCGACAAGGTTAAATCATTCCCTTGAAGAATCAGCTGCCATAATGGATTTAAGGCCTCCGATTCTGATTTGGTAAATGGTTGGGTTGACGTGGAGAGACTTTCATTCACATTAGGAAGTTTTACTGAGTGAATAAGTGATGAAGAAATGTCCTTTGGCGACACAGTAAAATCATTTCCTTGAAGAATCAGGTCCCATAATGGATTTAAGGCCTCCGTTTCTGATTTGGTAAATGGTTCGGTTGATGTGGAGAGACTATCATTCACATTAGGAAGTTGTACTGAGTGAATAAGTGATGAAGAAATGTCCTTTGGCGACACAGTAGAATCATTCCCTTGAAGAATCAGCTGCCATAATAAATATAAGGCCTCCGATTCTGATTTGGTAAATGGTTGGGTTGACGTGGAGAGACTATCATTCACATTAGGAAGTTGTACTGAGTGAATAAGTGATGAAGAAATGTCCTTTGGCGACACAGTAGAATCATTTCCTTGAAGAATCAGGTCCCATAATGGATTTGGGGCCTCCGTTTCTGATTTGGTAAATGGTTGGGTTGACGTGGAGAGACTATCATTCACATTAGGAAGTTGTACTGAGTGAATAAGTGATGAAGAAATGTCCTTTGGCGACACGGTAGAATCATTCCCTTGAAAATTCGGCCCCCATGATGGATTTAAGGCTTCCGATTCTGATTTAGTAAATGGTTGGGTTGACGTGGAGAGACTATCATTCACATTGGGATGTTTAACCGATTGGATAAATGATGAAGAAATGTTCTTAGGTGATACAATAGAATCATTCCCTTGAAGTATCAGCTCCCATAATAGATTTAAAGTCAGTGGTTGAACTGTTTGACTATCCGTTGCGGAATCCTGCTTATTATGCGATGGAAGAATATTCAAAGGGGATGATGAAGTAGACTCCAAGGAACTTGCCTCTGTTTCTGATTTGGTAAATGGTTCCGTTGACGAGGAGATATTATCATTCACATTGGGAAGCTTAACCGAGTTAATAAATGATGAAGAAATGTTCTTTGGAGATCCATGAGGTTCATTTCTTTGAACAATCTGCTTCCATACTAGATTTAAAGACAGTGTTTGAACCGACTGTATGCTTGCTGCATCCGGAGCGGGTTTTTCATATTCTGGATATCCTTTACGCGTCGGGTATACTGGTTCTTTGTAGTTTCCATGCAATACGGGATGTGTACATTTTTGTTTCTTGATTTTTTTTAATTTACACGGCGAAGTCTTAGGTGCTTCTACTATGGGATTGCCTTTTTGCTTTAATAGATTCTTCAACTGCGTGCATCTATTAACCCTCTTGAGGCCAGATCTTCTTTGAGTCCTTAATTTAGACCGATGAAATGCCTGATTGTTGCCGTGTGTTAGCTCAACTAACAGGAAATAACCTAATTCGGGCCTTATTTAATTCTCAAGTTTCATTTCAAATATTTTTTAATTCTTTTTTTACTTACTGCATATTTGGAAGAGAATAACCTTGCTTATAAGCATTTTGCTCGAACTCTCAGAATAGAGTAAGTGAATGTGTATCTTTAATTTTGTTGCTTCTGTAGATTTAACCGAGAAAGATTGGTATTTGTTGCGGTTGGTTGAATAACTTTTCTACTTTTCGCTATGCCTTTTATGAAAGGTCAAAGATATGTTCAATATTTCAGCAATTTAATATAATCCGTTTCCGCATGCTAATTAAGTTTGTTCCGTTTTGTTCAGTTGCTTGTCCTTAAGTGATATATAATAGCTCAATAAGCTTGAAAAATTGGAATATCTTTAAAGGGTGGTCGATCTAGTTGCATTGGCTTTATAGCGATATTTTTGTACTCCATTTATAGACCTAAAATATGATTAATTTTTCACAAAAAATAGCTCAATTTTATTTTTTTCCTAACCCTTTTATACATACTGGAAAGTTGAAAAAATTGAAAATGTTTTGCGTCGGAATTAACTATAGATATACTATATAGGCTGGTACTCAGCTCTCTGATAGTATTAGACAAACAATAATCCCTAAAATCAAATGAAATATATAATAAAGGTATTCAATTTTCTTCATAAGCAAGAACAAGATTTTCCCATATTTTCTAGTAAACCAGGATATCAGCTACAACTACCATAAATATTAAGCATATATATACACACGGGGATAGATATTTTATTGATTTATATCAAGTTGTGCTTTCTTGAATTGACAACGTTTCTTAAGGACAGAAAGCTAAGCAACCGCCATAAGCTGGTGGAATTGTCACGGCTTTAGGTTGACTCTCTGCGGAATTATCAGATGTCCCTAGGTTCGATTCTTAGGCTGGATACTTGAGAATTTGTATACGTTGGCAGAGGAAGTTCCCAATGGCTTTTATAAGTGAAGATCCATAGGAAATCATTTAGTTGCTCTGGATTCTGATTTTGTGTCAGATTCTCTAGCTGATTCTCTTGCTGATTCTCATTCCTATTATCCTGCTTATTATCTTGCTGATTCTCTCCATTTTCGGATTGTTCGCAATCGCTCTCTTCATTCGTATGACAGGGATTCTCATGTTCATTTCCTGGTTGGTAAACCTTAAGCTTTATCGACAATTCTTGTGTCTTGCTATGGCGACGTTGACCATCTTCTTGGTTATCGACATCTTGTTTATGATGTGAACCATGCTCCTTGCATGGTAACATATGGACATACTTGGAGCCAAGTACTAGCCAAAGACCTAGTTGGAATCAAAATTGATACAAATAATCCACTTTTATTTTATTTTCTATATTCATTTCGCATACTTACAGCATATCAACAGTTGTGCTCTTGCCATGGCCAGCATGTTGGTGCCTAACGTTGTATTAAGCCACGTCTTGGACGATCTCTCAGTTTTATAAAAGGTTTACATATGCCTAAGTCAATTCGATTAGTTGCAGTGTCCTAACCTAATGCTATTCTTGTTTCCGCTTGTATTAATTGGTTCTACTGCAACTAAATGCATATTACTTTATGTAAGCTGTTGGTAAAGCCAATCAAACCTTGCAACGAGTCAAAGTCAGCAGCAGATAAAATCAAGAACAAAATAGTATATTATTTGGTTCAGTTTTTACCCGAAATCGCAAATGTTATAAAATTGTCCTGAGCCAGATCTAGATTTACTGTGTTAAGAGATAGAAAAGACTTTGGCAGGGATAGGATTGGTTTTGAAATAAAAAAATGGGATCATCTCTCAACATTTTTATAATATTGAGTACATATTTTCTTATTAGACATTATCTCATATAGAAAAAAAAAGAAGAATAAATAAACCAAACAGCGGAAGTGGCATTAAAATGCCTCTAACTGCTGTACTTAACACGATATTATTAAAAAAAAACCCGAGAAATCTGTTTTCATAAGAAATATTGTAAATACTATACGAGAGTTCCCAAGTCTTCGGTTTTCATATGCAACGCGCAGCAGGTTCAACGTGGGATTGCATAGCTTTTCGTCGTTCCAAGCATAATTTAGACATTCTGATGACATTTATGGCCCGATTGAGTTGTGTGCGTCTGCTATGCATTGGGAATATGAAAGTTTTCGGTTATACGAGCCTTGCTAGAAGCTAGTGTAAATGTTTTTGTAAATGATATTGTTAATAAACAGCGGGCGGTTGGGTTCTGTTACCTTACCCATGCCGTGGCTGCCCGTTGCTGACATAAATACTCGTTTGGATTTGATATACACTGCAAATGGATGTGGCATGTTGTAATCAAATTATATGCAACATTTCACAATTTGTGGTTAAATGGACATTAACATAAATGCCACACTCAACTCAAATCGTTTTTCAATTGCATTCGTTTTCTACTTAAATCGAAATTAAATGAAAAGCGAGACGATTGCGCGACTGCAATCGTTTTGCAACACTGCATTCAACAAAAGCCAGCGAAATAATAAGTATTGAAGTGTGGCTAATTCTAAATACCCCTCGAGGGTAATTCCAGAAGTTACAGTATGTTAAAAGGCACTCGAATTTTGTGTATTTGCCCAGTTGTTAAACCTCGTGGAAATTTGTATATAATTATTGGGATACGGTTTTTTACTTTTATTTATATAGTTGTATCCAATATTAAATCCATATAAAATCATTTATCTGAGATATTTTAAAAGCTTCACGAATTGTTTATCTTTCCGATTATTTATCTCAATAGCCTTAAAAGAAACAGTTTTCCGAATATGCCTGGTTGTTTTATAATATATTTTATGAGCTCTACAAATTTCAAAGGTTGCCTCTTGACGCCACAAACAATATTGTTTAAATATATTATATAATTTAGGTTTATTTTTATTTGAATTTCATATATTTAGTTCTATTATTTGTCCACTTTAGGCTCAACAACCTTTGTGGCTGCCCTCGTTTTCACATTGTCGCAGCAAAAACATACCTCAAAGAGTTTTCGTTTCGGGGTTTACTTTTTTCTTTCGCAGCGCTTGGGAGTATTTTATTTTATTAGTCGAAAGAAAACCGAAATTTTAAAAAGAAAGAGTTTTTTATATTGCGCGCAATTTGCGGTTGCTGCTGCCAACAAATATTTTGCGGTAATATTTTATTTCCATTTCCGCACGCCGCAGCGCCCTACCCTACCCCTACAAAATTAAATTGGCATTTAAGGCTGATTTATTGTGTGCAATGCGTTAGATATAATATCTTGCAGGCGTTGCTAATGTGTCAGGTGTGTGTGTGTGTGTGTGTGTGTGTGTGTGTGCGTGTGTGTCCCAAATGTAATTGAAAATTGAAAGTAAATGCGGCGCGTTGTCAACTCTGTAAATAAACAATATGAAAGTGCAAATTTGATCAAAGCTAACTTTAAAGGTCGTTATTCTGGTTGCCGTCTAAAGCAAAGCTTATTAAACATGTTCTTGGCCTGAGCTCGTCTGGAAAAATGTACCGAATACACAGAAATATTTCGCACAATAAATCACTTTGCGTTAATTTATCATCATAATTATGAAAACGTTGACAAGACAAATATGCATGAAGAAATATATGTCCAAAACGCAGACAAAACAAATATATATCAAATCTTTTCAATGGAAAATGAAATTTAAAATATATGAAAGCCTCTGCCAAGCGAGCTTCCCACTGAGCTGAGGGTCTTTGTGAACTCTTCTAGAGGGTTGCGTTAATGTCCCAGCATAACTCGGATCTTAAATTCCTATGGTTATAAGGTGTGCAATGTAAAGGCTTTCAAATTTCGCAGCTCGACTTTTAGTTTACAAAAGCTAAATTCAGAGGATATACATTCTATGTTTGCTTGTATATATAACTGTCAGCTATGGAGATTACAATAGATAGAGATTTTATATACTTAAATATAATGCCAACTTTGTATCTCTGAAATCACCATATTATCTTCCTGGCAATAGTTTTGCAACAGCTATTAATATTTATTTAATTGAATGCAAAGTTGAAATAATTTTAATTACATTTTAAATAGACGTGTTTTAAACATCTAACTGTCTAAAATATATTCTTGAGTCTTAAACGGCTTTTAAACTAATTCAAAATTCCCAGCTCAAGGTCTAAGTTGTCAAGAAGGTATAAACACCAAGAGTAAGCAGATTTTCATCAGCAGAGCTTGCTTTCGATTATACATAGACAATTTCTATGTAGTATGCAGCTCGCAGCTACAACTAGTTGAGAATTATAAGCAATACAAAGATTCAGACGAGCTGGTCAGCTTTTATTTAGTTTACACTTTAAAGGTCATTTAAAACATTTTGTCTCTTCTAAACGAATCTAATTTAAATTTTCTTAGTATTCGCATTAATTTCTTTTAATCTAAAAAATTCCAATTCCAATCCATCTCTCTTCACCATAATATGGTTTTAAGATCCACATATCTTACGCTCTGAAGGCCACTTCAGCTGAAAACTTTGGGAATTTTTGTAAATTAATTGCTATATCCAAGCGAAACCTTATGAATACCCAAGATCGCATGCAAATTAAAAATTTGCAATATTTCGACTAATTCTATTGTGTAGGTTTTTTGTGCTCAAAGGTCGCAGTCAAATGGGCTCCCAGCGATACCTGCCTTGAAGGCCACGGCTGCTAATCGAGCTCGCAATCGAAGTTGGAGCCGCACAGCGACGCGCCCTTCCGCTTGAGCTCTCCCCAACGGCTGACCCAGGCCGACGATGACAGCGGATATGAAGAAGACGAGCTTGTTGTCGGACACTTGGGCACCTGTTTGCTTAACTGCAGAGCTCCAGCTGTTGTGGCTCAGCTGCTCAGGTTTTCTTTTTTTTTTTTTTTTAAATATATTTTTTGCTTCAGCTTCTTATTATGTGCCCTGATGGCTTTTGCGGCAGCTCGTGGCACTTGCCACTTGAGCAGCGGCCGCAATCGGAAGTTCATGTTTATGATACGCTCAGCAACGTCCTCTGGGCGTGCAAATCAACAAAAAGTCATCAGCATTGAAAATCAGCTGCCAACGCTTGAACTTCGACTTGAGGTAGCCGCTGTTGCCCCTCGTTAGGGTCGCCATAAGAGGGCTGCGGTCAGCCGCTGCCCCGAAGCGCCCCTTTGTGAGTGTGATAAGACATTCTATAAATACAGCTAGATGCACGTAGAGCTCGTAAACAGGTGGGCGTAGCTGCTGTCGGGCTGTTTACAAAGTTTGATTTAAAAGAGTTGCAACATTTCTGTCTTGTGGGAGTTACCTAACATATATTCGAACAGTTTATGGAGTATTTTTTTCTTGGTCATGATTTCTACCTTCCATTTCTATATTATATTGTATGCATTTTGTCCGAACATTTAAAAAATATATTTCTTAATACATTTTTATACCCTGAACCCATTAAAAAGGGGTATAAGGGTATATTGTATTTGTGCAAACGGAAGAAGGAAGCATCTCCGACCCCATAAGGTATATATTCTTGATCAATAGCCGAGTCGATCTAGCCATGTCCGTCTGTCTGTCCGTCCGTCCGTCCGTCCGTCCGTCCGTCCGTCCGTCCGTCCGTCCGTATGTATGAACGCAAGGATCTCAGAACCTATAAGAGCTAGAGACTTGAAATTTTAGATGTAGGTGCTCCCAGTTCCCGCGCCGATCGAGTTTGTTTCCGATAATCGATAACTTACTCCGTTTCCAAGCAATCGATAAAAATCTATATCAATATCCTGTTTTTTGGGAAATTTTGGTAAAAATTAAGAGCTAGATTCACCAAACTTGACATATAGCTTCTAAAATAGAATATATACATGCATTTGATGTTGGGAGAAGAGGGTTCAGGGTATCCCCTAGTCGGGAGCTCCCGAACCTCTTACTTGTTTTTTTCAATATTTTATATTTGCCTGATTGTCAATAAGGAGCATTATTGGCAACGATGAAGATTAGATAGCTTCAAATAGCTGCTGTAGGATTATATACTATCGATTTAGATTGTTTGATTGTATAAGAGTGTATGGAATATATGCTAGGCTAGCTAGATTAAAATCTTCTAGGCATTTAAATTTTAGCGCTCCAAAGCTGACTGTTCTATTCTTATACAAATCTCTTGTGCATCTGCTTAAACGTTTCTTCTTACAAGCATGAAATCTCAAGTTATTTTTATTCGCTGCCGTTTTACGTAATCTCTAAAATTGAGGTGTTTGCGCCTAATGCATAACAATGAACATAAATTCAAGTCAATTCAATTGATTTGTCTATTCATACTTTATGGCTTTACGGCCGATAAGTACGCCTAACAAGCGTCCACTTAGCCAAGGCACCGGCAGCGGCAAGCCCGAGCAACGGGCCACTCAGCTATGCTGGGCGCAGCAGCCAGATCTCTTGGATACAATTGTATCTCGCAGATACAATTGTACGAGTAGCATGCAGTACGTAAGTGCCGCCGCATAAAACTTGATTGATAGCATCATTTGCAAGATGCAAGAGGCAAGATGCAAGTCTCTGTTTTTGTTTCTCTGCTGCTTTGCTGCTTCTTTTTGATTTACAGCTACGGCAAGTATTTATAGGAAATGTGCGCAGAACGCAGAAAAAACACGCGCCATTGTTGGTGGGGGAAGGAGGAAGTGGCTTTTGCCACTTGGCAGACGTCGCCATCCGCTGGCCGCTTCTCGCCGGCCGCCGGCCGCCGGCAGATGCAACTCGAGCAATTGGCAACAAGTGCAATGCAGCAGATGCCACAGCCCCAACGTCTGCCGCTGCTTTGTTTACATTTGGAGCACGTCTGTTTCGGCTGCGGCAGCTGCTGACCGATGGCTATTAACTTGCAGCCGGCCCAGAAAGAGTGAGAAAGAGAGCAGCTAGCAAGCTAGGGCTTTAAAGCGTCCGAGTCTGGGATTACACAATTTGAAGCTGGTTGCAGCTGTAACTGGAGCATGCTTCGAATCTCATTCTTGGCATAACTCAACATCATATTTATATATATATATATAAATATATATTATACCTACTCCCAAGCAGAGCTGTAACTGTGGTACATTGAACGCTCCACATGCTGTGCACAGATTCACCGCAACTTTGTTTTCCATTGTATGCTTTTCACACGCTCATGTGAAAAGCGTGCTATGATACGATCCAATTCTAAACAAATATTTAACTGTTTACCTTCAGGAATGCCAACACCAACAACCATAATAATACCCAATCTTCAAAACAGTTCAAAAAGTTCACCTCTATCTTAGTTCAAACATTTGTCTATACACAGAGAGGGAGAGGGACTGAGAGAAAGCTTCTCTATTTCTCTATATAAATTATATGTTTTATATTATTTTAATTTCAAGACAGCTTTTCTTATCAGTTTAGCAGAAAATTCTCCTTATTAATAAATATATAGGATTAAGTTATATATACTTCTGTTTCTTGCCAGAATGATGTGAGCTTGGATTGAGATACAAAATACTTAGAAAAGAACATGCTTAACTAAAACAAGCATTAAAAGTTTGCAACAATAGTAAAACATTGCTCCGACTGATTTTGTTCGTTTAGTTAATATTTAAGCTTGTCTAATTCTTATTGTTATAGTTTAACATGTTAAATGGGAGAAAGATAGGGACATTATAATGTATTTATAGACACATATTCCTAATCCGCCCAAACAATCAAATACGTCAAGTGCGAGCTTATCAATCTCAGATGTCATAAGAGCAACAGCTGCGAAATTAAGTACACAGATTCTCGTATACCCTACTTACAGAAATTTTTAAAGACTGCAAGTAATATTTATATAAATAAAAAGTAGAAATTACATCTTAAATAACAATAACAAGCTTTCAAATAAATAGAGCTGTATTTAATTATTTTGTCGCTTCGCTTCAAATCGCAAAGCAACAAGAGCGATACATTAAAAAAAAAGATTAACATTTTCCTCTGCTGTATACATTTTCACTTTCATTAATAATATTTTTTTGTATGTGGCCTTTTGACTTTGTGGTAATTAATTTTTTGAGAGTCGTCTTTTTTGTGACTTTGTTAAATAAATCATGGCTAAATATGTTTGCCGTGTTGCCCGCAAATTACATTTGGCATTTGACTTTCTTTTCGGTCTCTTTGTGTGGCACCAAAGTTCAAGCGTTTTTATGCTTTACGGCCATAACATTTAATATCAGGTCCAATTGTGTTGGCCATAAGAGTCTTTAGCCCATAAATGGCAAGGAACGTGCGCATAATACCTAAGGTTCTAGGTAAAAATCGCGGCAGCTGTTTGAGGCATATTTTCCTAACTATTGTAACTGCTAACCGTACGGGCTAACGGCATACAGACTATTTAATTAACTAAATAACTCTAGTATTTTCTATGAATTTTTATGTTTATCTTATATCACCGCTAGCAACATGTTGCTAGTGAATGTTGCTGCGCTTCTGCCGCTGCAAGTGCTCTTGCATTCATACACACACACACACACTTGCATTTATATATTCAAGTCCATCCGGCGCTCAATGTCTCTGGTCACGCTTTGCGCCCCGATGCAGTACGCTCTCTCTCTCTCTCTCTCTCTCTCTTTGCAATTACCCATCCCAAATGAAAAACCCACATGCCGGACGCAACTTCAGTTCTAATTGGAAACTCGTTTTTCGGCATCGCAAACGCTCGCTGCCTACTCAAAGTGAACAGCGCAGCAAGTGGAACTAGTTCGCCCAGACAGCGTCGCCCACAGCTCAGCAGTAAAACTTTAAAAACGACCCACACTCAAGCGTCTACTAACGCACTCATACACACACACATACCCACACCTACGCTGGTCAGAGAGCGAGCAGCTAGCAACATCTGCCTTGCACCCACGCTTGCTAGCTAGTGAGTGAAGTGAACGAGTGATAGAGAGCGAGAGTGTTCGCTTACGAGCGAGCAGCAAACTCTTGCTTCGAAGTTGTCATGTATGTTTATAAACATTTTGAATGAGTCTTAGTATTACTTTGATTTTGTTAATTAAAACTAAGTTTGGTTTTATATTAAATTTATTATTATATTTGCTTATTTATGTGGCTTACTTATTTTAAGCTGCACATAGCTGCTTCTCTTCGTTTCACAGTCTTGGCAACAAATGTTGCTAGCCTTTGCCGGCTGTTGTTTTTGTTGCGCTCACCAGTTAGCTCGATCTGCGCGCTGAGAGTGAGAGCTCGAGTGCGAGCACGAGCAAGAGCGAGAGCGTGCGTTAGCTAGCAGACTAGCCCTTGCCGCTGGCAGCGCTGTGGCTTCAGTTGTGTTCGAAGCATTGTTGAGTGCGGTAGTTGTTGCGGTTGTTTGTTTTGCGCTTTAAATTCTCATCACTTGAATAACTGTTAAAAGCTTATCAGCAATGCGCATGCAAATCGAAGCCTAAACGAACGAAACTGAAAGTGCATTTATCCAACATTTTTTGACAAAAATTCAATTACAATTACAAAAATCTGCCAAAGGGCATTACAAATCGGTGCTGCTGCACCTGTTCGTTTCCTGCCGCAACCGCAACAGATGCGCGCCCCAGTCGGAATCATATAGCATAATGCGGCACGTACGGGCCTTTGGCTACGCATAAAAATGTTCCAAGTGTTGTGAAGTGCATGATAAGTTAAGGGCGAAGAAGAAACACAAGTGGAAACGAAAAACCATAAAAAAAAAAATAAAAAAACGGCCTTGTGCATTTTTTAGTGTATTACAATCCATCAAAGTTTTGGGATTACACACGCACACACACACACACAAATACACTTTGGATTACCAAAAAAAAAAAAAGATAAACCGAAAAAAGCTAAACCCAATTGAACTTTAGAAAGGTGAGTTTTGGCATTTTCAGCTTTCGATTCTTAAATGATCTTGAGTGATCTCTAATTCTTCTTCTTATTCTTCGTCTAAGCCAGTTTATGTCTTTGCTACCGAAATTGATTTATTGCGATAATCCACTTGAGTTCGGGCTTCCGCTAGAAAGTCTTGAGAGAGTCTTATCTTCAGACTTGTTTACCCAGCACTCTGGTCTGGTTTTCTTTTCACTCATTGGCGAAAGTTTAGAATTTTCACTAATCAAATCAATGTTTTCACGTATTTTAATTGCTGCACAAGAATTTAAGAGCTTTCAAACTGTTTATTCAGTCCGAGTTGATTGAACCTCGCTTTGGCCCCACAAACGGTACTCCAGAGGCAGGCAACTCATTTCCGTTTTCTCCCCAGCAATCCGTGAATCATGTAAGATATCATCTTGTGGCGATTATAATGCAAATTTTCGCGCGCTGTTATAAATTTGTTAGATGTCATTGCCGGCGGGCCAGGCGCATGATATATGCATTATAATACTCTATTAATATATAATTTTGTACAATGCAAAAACTGCTCGAATGACTTCGAGGGCCACACGCATCTACCTTCTCATCGACCTTCTCAACTATTTACAAAAAAGCATAAACATTTTTATGGAAATATATGTATATATATCTTTTTTGTCTCTTACTAAATGGAATCTCCTGCTTAATTAGTCGCAACGTTGTCTGAATGTTTATGAAAGACATTAAAACTTGATTTCCTGAGGCATTTTGATTATAACAAAATAGTTTACATAAATTTGTGTCCAATCAAATCTATACAAATTATGGATGCGTAACTCGCATTGGATTTCCTTTCTTTTATATGTAAGACATATGTATATATATATATTTTGCATATCAAATGCTTCACACGCTTAATATGCCTTTGTTGGGCATCACTTAACAGATCATTAGCTGAAACAAATGACAAAGTACGAAAGGTTCCATTAGGTTCTTATCAGCTCATCAAATCATTTGGCAACTTTTGCTTTTCAAAAAAGTTCCCATCATCATATGCCCACAGCTCATTACTCATCCATAGCTCAGCCACTTTACCAGCTGCCTAATTAACGCAAATCTTATTTACGAAACTTCTTAATAACAGAGACAGGAGGCCAGCATATTCTAGTAAGCTGTTACTGTCTGCGAGATACTCTGTTAAAGTTGTCAAAGAAAAATGTAATAAATACGTCTGATTATTGAAGATTTGTAGACCTTAAGATATGTTTGATAACTAATCGAAAGTATTTAAATCGATAGATATTTCCGATAACCTGTTGAAATTGATAAAACCTATCGACGTTTTCGATAACTTTCATATTTGAGCTCTCAGCGTAACAAAAAAAAACATATAACTTAAGCGAATTAGCCTTTCGTTAAAAAGAAGGCAATTAAGAAAACGATTTATCTTGTTCGGAATTGTTGCGTATCGATTAATATTTGATGATAATAAAACTGATCGACAACAGTCGTTATATTGACCCATAAACTATATCAAGTTTCTATGAATATTTAATCGATAAATCGATAACTTTTATGCACACACGCATGCAACCAACCCAATACACCCATCTTCTGTTAATCGCAGTGCATTAAAAGCGAGACACATATTCTTACGGCAATTTGTCATATTGAAATGAAATGCGTCTCAGCTAATAGACTGTCTTCTCAGAGCGAAAATTTCCCAGCGACAGATGCTGTTGTTGATGATTATGATATGATACGATGATAATGATGTATGTGATGTTGATTACCTTGAAAATTCACTTTAGTCCGTTGTCTCCTCGCTCGATTATGAAATTTTCGCTTAAGCACTTGACAACTTAATAGTTTCACGTGTTGTTGTTGTTGTTGGAGATAGTGTGGTTTTTGGGGAACTTGTTGTTGCGCGGTTTTCACTTCACTTTCGGGCAATTTGGCATCTTTCGCTGAAGTTCGTCGTACTCGTCGTCAATTGTTATTGATATTGAATTAATTTCCTGTCCCGCACAACAAATTTTCTCTTGAAAATCAAAAGAAAAAAAGTGGAATAAAATAAACTGTGGGACATTGCGGATTATAAAATGCGGCTCACGTTGTGCTCACGTTTAGCTGAGAAAAGGTCGCTTCAGGACAACGTTTTGTATTATTTTGGCTAATTAAAAATCAGGAAATGCACACGAACAATGCCAGCCAGGGGGTCCTACGTGAGCACTACCTGTACTAACCTGCCTAGCCTCCCTCCATCCAGCTACTGTCAAGTGCGGTTTGCTACGGTTTAGCGCCCTCTCTTCCTGGCCCTCGAACAGGTAGATGTTAAAGCCGCACTCGCTATTAGGGATATTTAGACGGGGCTTAAATGCTGGCGAAACGTGTTATAGGTTTGGTTCTTGAAAAGGATATGCGCCTCATTTGATTCAGTTATTGCCAATGACAAGCACGTATTGGAGAAATAGGGGAGTTCTTCTTTTAATAAAGATATTGATTTTGTGGCGAGCGAGATGTTTCAGCTATCTATAACTGGAGATCAGTGAGAGTTGACGGCACTCAAAATAAAAGAATTAACTTAGCTTAAACTTAACCATTTTTATAGGGTATTCCATTAGAATAAACAATTATAGTATATATTCCCTCGAGTTCTGCATAGTTATAATAGAGTTTGTTGCTTAACGATTTCTTTTTAATGACCTCTGCGAGCATTGCTAGGTTTTTAAAGTGCACCCAGGAAGTTGTTCACCTACCATAAAAGATTATAACAATATTCGATTTCTTTTTATATGTCTATTGTCTGTTGGGTCTCTCGTTAAATTAAAGGCACGCCCGCACATTGAAGAACTACAACAACAACAACAGCAAAACGACATGGGGGAATTGTCATAGAATTTGCATATGTATATATGTATGTGTGCTCGGTACAGGGAATGTTTTCATTTGAAATAACTGAACGACCCGGACTTTCAATAACGTTTAGCAACATATTGTCAAATGCCGTAACCCCCGCCAAAACGGCAAACCGGCAAACCGCGAAAAGTCGCGCGTGTCATAAGCAAATTTGAAAGTGATTTGCAATTCAATAAGATCCATTGCCCGAGTCGGAGCCAGGCCAGACGTTGTGTATTTACAGCTAAATGCAAAGTATTCAATTGAATTGAAAACAGGCCAAAAAATTGGGTATTTTTCAGCTCGTTTTCAAATTCACGCGAACTTGGCTAAATGCGAGCTTAGTCAGCGCCTTTTAAAGCGCAAATTAAAGCCCATAATATGCATATTAAGATTTTTTGCTTTTGTTTTCGATTTGTGTTTATTTTTTTTTTCATTGGAAACGCGTCAGCAAAAATGTTCAACTGAATGTTGGCGCTGTCTCTGGCAGACAGTTGTTGCTTTTGCTTTTGGCCTTTTTGTTTTAACTCGGCTTATTGTTGACACGCCGTTTTGTTAACAATCAATTAACAAACAAGTGAAAAAGGGAGCCCAAATATCTGTAAACTGTCCATTTGCTACAACAACAACAACAACAACAACAACGAAGAATAATGAAAAAGAGCTGTGAAATAATGCGTTAAATGGCGTGCTATAAAACAATTATGGCGCGCTTTTATGGCATAGCGCAGACACTTATCTGATCGGACGTGGCTCGTAATTGATCCGGGAGCTGTCACCTCTATATAAAGCCCCACAAGAGGCGCTTGGTTACAATAGATTAAACATATTAAATGACACGTAGTTCTTGGATTATAATTTAGGAAGTTTAGACTAAAATAGTAAAATATTTGTTTGAGATATAATTAATTTTTGTTTTTTTTTTATAGAGTCTAGATCAATTCCTTAAACCTAAGCTTCGTTAATCATTTTAACTATAAAATATATTTAATAGTTTTTCTTCATAATAACTTTTAACATTTGAGATGTTTAGTTAGTATAATTTATTTTAGCTTTTGTTGTAAGGCCTTTTATATATAAAAATTGTTTAGCGGAAAATATAAAAATTGAAATTTAATGTAGGTAAGACACGTTTCTAAACCTTTGGATGACATGCTTAAACATTTAAATATATCTCTTTTTAATTTCTTATTTCGCTTTTTCTATAACTAAATTTTAATGAATTTAAGATAATATTAATTGAGTTGAAGATTAACTAACTAAAAACCATTCTAAAATTGTCTGCAATTTTTAAATAATTTTAGACATACATTTGGAACGTGCTCAGACTTTAATAATTGAGATCAGAACCAGGTTGTATAATATTTGTTGAAAAGCTATTTTTAACAAACGTCTAAGATAGTTAGTTAGCTAAGATAAGCTACTTTCAGCTGTCCAACGTGATATTTCAGAGTTTTTTTTATGCTGAGAAACCATTCAAAGCAAAACTAAAAACTTGACTAGTTTCCATTTAGCCGACTTTCTAGTTTGCCAAATATTACTTAATCTCTTGATACTAACAAGGTTTTAGCTTAGTTCACATGTTGAAATGAACTCCTAGGCAAATACTCTCAGATGGCTGCGATTTGAAGATCTTCAGATACAGATGCTGATAGATATAAGTCCGAATCGTTTCTAGTGCATTTGAAGTCTGACTTTGGCTTTTGTTTCCGACATTTGTTTTCTTTTGTTCACGCTCTTGCCTTGCGTTCGCTGTGCTAACCCGAGGCGGAAAAAGCTGTTTTAAGCGCTTTCTAGATCTTGGCTCAAGAGCGAGATTTAAGCCATAATTGCGCTGCCTTGTCTTTTATGGCTAATCAACTGCAACGTGAACTTTCATCTGTCAAACGACTCGCGATTCTCGCGGCTCTGCCAGCCATTAGGGTCAAGTGCGTGTCTCTCTAAAGGCCGCGCTCAACTTTCGTTGGAAGGGGGCCATTCTTCAGTACGCATATCAGTCGTAAATCCGATTAAAGATTTACTTTCTACCCCCATCTGAAAAGAGTGAGAAGAAGAAGAAAAAGTGCGACAAATTCTCACGCCCAACGTCGATTGCTGTAAATGTAAACCGCAAAATGCGA